ATGTTCAAAAAATCATGTTTTAAAATCTAAATATGTAGTAAATCTTTTTACAATAAATAAATACAGTCAAAAGAGTTATTAGTATTTTTTTATAAGACGTATAGTTATATTAATAATTGAAGGACAATTACAATGCATACTATACCTTACCATATAAGTTAATCAAGAAAAATAAATAAGTTAGGAAGGACTTTTGACATTAATATATATAGTTAAATGTTCCATACAAATAGAAATAATTAGAAATTAAGAAGCTCTAAATATTAGTATATGTTATATGGATATCAATAGAGTTATCTAATAATATAAAAAGATTATATTAGAACTTATTGATGTTATTGGCAATCACATTTATTTTATCACTCAAATCTAACATAGAGAATCAATGGATTTGGTGATCTAATGTCTTCTAATACGACAATGTTCTGTCCATCCACAATTAATTTTTAACTAACAAATAGATGAAAATTATCTATATGAATGGCCAATATGGTGCCCTCGACACTATTTACCTCCTTAGGGATCATATTCACCCCTATAATATTTAAAATCACCTTATTAACCCGTTGTTCCTCCAAAATTGTTGCACTACTCTTTAATTAATATCTAAAACTCCAAATGGAAAAGTGTTTAATAAATCCACGCGTAAGAAAATGAAAGTATTTAGAAGAGATTTTTATTTTGCATTCTACGTTAGTACAAGGTAAATATCTATACTTTAAAAAGGGACAGTAAAAACTCTCCCAGTTGACAAATTTTGGGCATTTTATGAGTTTTTGCCCTTGGTATTGTATGTTTTTATTTGTGTAATTTGAATTATATAATATTTTTTATTTTAAAAATTAATTATTTAAAAATTTAATATAATTTAAATTATAAAATAAAAAATTTAAAAACTCAATGTTAAAATTTTTTAATTAAATATTTTTATTGTATAATATAATATAATTCGGAGTAAATTAGTGTTTTTCTTTAAAAAATTAAAAATTAAAGAACAGAAAATGAAAAACACTCCACTTTTGTTCAATTGAAAGAAGAGGACAAAAGAGGCTCCAATTCCAAAATACCCCTACCAGAAGAAACTAGAAAGGAGAGGAAGTGAGTCTTTATTTTGCATTTTTATGGAAGTAAGTCAGCTCTTTTCTTCCACTTGTTGCAGAAAGAACCCACCTCGACGTTGTGAATAGGAATCCACTTTCTCTTCTCTACTCCATATTATTTTACTCTTCATCGCCGTCTGTTTGTTTGCCTTGGAAGGAAAGAAACGGTGGTTTCCACTCAACCTTGTCAAGGTATGATCACCCAGATTTTACCTATTTTGGCATATGTTTTTTTCTATCATGGGTGTGAAGGAAGACGAAATTCTGTTTCCTTTTTACATATTTTTTGAAGTGGGCATTCACAAAATTCGGTTTTTCCCATAAAGCATTTGCTTTTGGTTACGTGGCTGCCAAAGTTCAGACAACTGTTTGGTTGCCGAGAAAATGGAGGTAGAAAAAGGAAAAAAAATGTGAACTTTAGCTTTGGATTTGAAGAAAGACTTATGTTTTTTTGCTATTTTGGGTGTTGGAAACTCATTGAAGGCTTCCCTTTTGCAGCTCTTATTTTCTATTATTTCTAATGATATGTATTTTTTCCTATAACATCGGATTTTAGTTTTATTTCAGCTAGGAGGGAGACAAGGAAAAAGATATGACATTTAGTCGTAGATTTTGATATTCATCTAAGAAGATATGAACTTTAGTCATATTCATCTTCATTTGCTCCTTGTGGCGTCGTAAACTCATTCCTGGTTTCAGCTTTCCTTTCCATCTTCTTGATGTTTTTTAAACCTGGGATTACGCGTTTTTGGGTTCCTGAGGACAGGAAAACCATGGTTTCTAAGACTTCAATTTTGGAATTTTTTGAATTTTTTTTTTTTCTGAACCATATAGCCTTTGTGATCTTCCATATTATTGCAGTGATAATTATAACTACCATTTGCTTTCTTAATATTAGTGTTAAAAGGATGTTTAGAAAGGCTTGAACTTGATGGGTATGGCCACATTAATTTTTCATGGGTTGTGTACGTCTGTTCTTATGTATTTATGTTTGTTCACGCATTGTTGTTTGCTTATGGAATTGTTAGATCACATATTTTGGTTTGCAATGTCCTTTCTCTTACTATTTCCTTTTGACATTCAGATTTGCCTGGCAATCTATTCTTCTGATTTCTGCTAAGCGTTCTCTAAAAACAGATATTTTTCTTTTAAGTGCCAGCTATATGTTTCTTGAGCTGTCTAGAGTGGCTGTCTCTGCCATACATTACCATTTATGTTTCTCTTTTGGTTTGTGAGGCTTCATTGAGTTGCTTCTATAACTCACTCTACTCTTTCGATCAATGTAGGCTCCTTGAAGCCTCCCTACGTGTATTTGTTAATCTGCAAGTCGTTATGTTTTGCAATGCCACCATCTCAGAAAGTAGCTAAGGCCTGCAAGGCAATGAAACCTTATGGCTTTCCTAATTGGAAAGTGAAGGCAGCATTAAAGGAACTTCTACCATTGTATGATAATCAATGGGAGCTTATTGAAGATGATAACTATAAAGTTCTATTCGATCGTATGGTTGGAGAGCCAAAGGCAGATGAGGTTCAACTTTCTGCTTCATGTTTCATGTTTTTGTTGTTGCATCATCTTCATGTTTTTTGTTTATTTTAATGTTGCAATCTCTTACTTTCACTGCCCCCATATATCATATAATGTTCAAGAACGTCTGCAGTGATTTACTTGCTGAACGTTTTGTACACAAATATACAAGTAATGTCTTCTTTGTGCCTTTCAACTTTCCAACCTTCTTGCTTATGTTATTTTTAATCAGAGAATGGAGCCTGAGAAGAATGAAGCTTCATCATCATGTAGAGCGAAGGTCTGTCCTGCTCCTATATTTTGGTTTTGTTGTTCTTAGCTCATTACAGAGAATTTATTTGGTGATAAGGGAGTTGTCATAGACTGTATATTTTGGATCTCACTTAACAAGTTAACATGATGAAAAGTAATTTATATGAATATTAAATTATTTTAAGCGTCTCTATTCTTTTGCAGATATTGATACCTTAATTTCTTATGATGCATTTTTCAGAGAGGAAGATCCAAGAAGACAGAAGCTTCATTGCCTTTAGAGCCTCAAGATTCTGAACCTTTGTCAAAAAGATTGCGCCCGAGATACAAGAAAGAAAATTCTTCAGTGTCTATAAGTGAATCTACAAGGATTAGTAAAACAGCACGAAGAAGCAGACGGCAGAACAGAATCGAACCAATGCCAGGCTCTAAGACAAGTTCAGAGACTGAAGATTGTGAACCCCTAGTGAAAAAACCTCGCAGAAGGCAACAACAAGAGCAGGTTTCAAATGCTGTGGATAAGTCTGACCTGATTTTGACTGAAACATCAGTGGTAGTGTTGGAAGGGAAAGAGAATCTGCTACCTTTTGGATATCAAGAACCATTTATGGAATATCTCCCAAGGCATCAGATGGAGCAATCTTTGGTTCTTGTGAAGGCCCCTGACCCACTCTTTGTAGAAATCCAGCTAAGAAGGGATGCCCAGTTTTCTCACTCTTGTTTTGAAGAAGAAATACTTCACTCCACTAAGTTGTACCTTGGGGGTGTTGAAACTGAGTCAAATCCTGTTCTACAAGTGGAGCATGCAGAAAACTCAGAGGCACCTAAATCAAAGTCTGAACTGATTCAAGAGAAAGGAAAAGCAACAGGGATGCCTCAAGTTGATGCTAAGGAGGTGACATTATCTTCTGATGAGGGAAATGATCTCTTGTGCTTTGCAGAACCACAAGTTGTGATCAACAAGGAGCTTTGCCCTTCTGATAATGTCCATGAGTTACGCAAGAATTATTCCAAGCATCTGATCACTGATGAGCCATCAATTGGCAGCATACTGGAGGATGAGGTCCCTCTTGATGTTATCAATCTTGGTAAACATTTACTTTTAAAAGGTAAAAAATATCACAAATGTCAATTACAAGCTTCAAAGTTTTTGTACTTTTTATTTTTGATCAGCAAGAAATAGTAGTTAGTCGAGGGATTCATGATCTTTGTTTTACTTTTTATTTCCTACTACTTCTAATTCCTGCACAGCCTCAAAACTTCTTCATTTGAGAGTAGTGAATATGGAAATGTAATTTTATTTTTCTTCCTGAGCTGGTAGTTCTGGCGTTGACCAATCTAGTTCTGAGCTTCTGACTTCTTGTGTCTGCATCTTGTAGCTCCTTCATCACTGTTATGTGGTGATTATTCTTCAAATGGAAACAGTTACAACGAAAAGAAGGATGACCTCAAAATCCCAGAATCAAGATCTCCAAATGGTGCTGAAAAAGATGAAGTCTTGGGTTTGTCTCAACTAGATATTGTTTCATCTCCTGGAGGGGAGGTGAAGCTTTTCTTCATTTGTAAATCTTCCAAACAACCTGGTTTCTGCATACCAAGTTTAGACATGGTTGTAGGATCATTGGAAGAAAGATATCAGAAATTATATGGACTAGTGACACCTAATTTTTCTGTTATGGAGGTTATGAGAGACATATGTCAAAGCTTTTTGGAAATAGCAACCACTCCTACTGCTGAACGTGTGAGTTCCATGAATGAATCGTCAATATTTGATGCTTCTAAGAAATTGAATGTGCAAAATATTCAGAGTGATGAACATACTGGAGGCTCTTCTTCCCGTCCTCCAAAGCATTCATGTGGATCGATCAAATTTCAGAATCTCATTAAGGTGAGACCCAAAATCGGCAGAGGCATAACTGTTAGTGGGTTTGGAAGCCTTCACCATCTTGCTAGTTTTGAGAACAGAGCTAGCGGGTGCAATTTAAAATCAAGCAGTGGTGAAGCTGTTCAGAAGCACACTTCATCTCCAGTTATTTTAACGCCCTATGATTATATTGATGATATAACCAGAGGCAAAGAAAAAGTGAAGATTTCTTTGTTAAATGGAAGCAATGCTGAAAAATCTTTAGCCTTTTTATACATTTCACAGAACATGGTTTATAAAGGAGCACGTGTTAAGTTTACAATGGATTGTATTTCTGAAGGAGATTGTTGTTCACATTGCTCCAAGGATTGCCTATCATTTTCCATGCCATGTGAATGTGCTGGACAAACTGAGGGTGAGTTTGCTTATGCACCAGGGGGATTGCTTAAGGAAAGCTTTCTGGAAGACTGTATCACCTTGAATCAGGCCTCTGAAAGATGCCATTACTTTTTCTGTAAAGATTGCCCACTTGAGAGGTCTAATGGGGGAAACCAGTGTGAGTTGTGTGAAGGTCATTTAATGAGAAAATTCATAAAGGAGTGTTGGTCTAAGTGTGGGTGCAGTAATACATGTGGGAATCGTGTTGTTCAGCAAGGCATTTCTGTGGCATTGCAGGTTAGTTGTTATTCATTGTGTTCTTCTGTGAAGTTTATTGCTTTAAGAAGTGGTTCTTTGCATTTTACAGGGATTTTTTAATTTTTTAATTTTTAATTTTTCAGGTGTTTCAAGCACTTGAAGGAAAAGGATGGGGTGTTCGGACACTGGAAGACTTGCCAAAAGGTGCTTTTGTTTGTGAATATGCTGGAGAAGTAGTCACCTGCTCCGAGCTAGACGAGAGGAATAAGCAAAGCACTAGTAGCAAGAAGAATATGTACTCAGTGCTGCTTGATGCAGGTTGGGGTAAAGAAGGTATCTTGAAGGATGAAGAGGCCCTTTGTTTGGATGCTACTCGTTATGGAAATGTTGCACGATTTATCAACCACAGGTATAACCTTAATCTCTGTACATAACTCAAAACGATCATCAAACTCATTTCCCCCATTTCTACCCAGTTGGAAGTTGTCCAAGTGAATTCTAGATGAAATACCACGTCATATCAATTGCTATCCTAGTCAGTTGTGATACTTGCTAGTAGACATTACTTACACCTATACTTGTGGCTTGTTATCATCTCTTTTCCTTACACTTATACTTGTGGCTTGTTGTCATCTCTTTTCCACTAACTTTGCTCCCTTGCATGTGTTCTTTTTCTGAAACAATTGAAAAAACAGAATAACATGTGTTAGCAAGAAACAAATGTCTCTGAAGATGTTTTATCTACCTATCAAAGGATTCTTTAGAGTGATGTATCTTTGAGTTGCTAAAGTATCAACAACAGCTTAAGAAAATTCTTGAAAATTGTTCAAGAACTACTCATTTTTTGGTTGAATATCTGATTCTGCATGTTTTTCTTCAGATGCTCTGATGCCAATTTAATTGAAGTCCCTGTCAAGGTGGAAATCCCAAATCATCACTACTATCATGTATGCAATCTTAGCATTCCTAGCAGTATATCTTATCTATTGTGTATTCTGAGTTTACATTCCATTCACACATTTTCTCTCCCATGCAGCTTGCCCTTTTCACAACCCGAAAAGTTGCTGCCATGGAAGAACTGACTTGGGTAAGTAGCTCTAAACATACTGAATTGTTGTTGGCTTTGGTTTGATTGATCTTACATGCAAATATGATATACTAACAGGATTACGGCATCAACTTTGAAGGTCCTGAAAAACCTTTCAAATGTCAATGTGGGAGCTTGATGTGTCGTGATTCAAATTAGAGAGTATTATCTCTTTACAGTTTGTACCTGAGACAGCATCACATGTTACTTGCCTCTGCTAATTGAACTACCTAATGTACGTTGATGTATATTTTGCACGCTGTCAGCCAACTACATATATATATATAT